GGCTGATCCTCTTGACCATGGTGACCCCATGCTACCCAGTGTGTAGAAGTGACAGAGGCTGAGCAGAAACTGGTAACTCTGCCTTTGTCATCATTGCATGGCACCACTTGCCCCAGGTGAGGTTTCCCTTTCCTTCCTCTTTTGCTGTGAAAAGAGCTTTAAAGAAACCCTTTTTGCTCTTTTTTTTTTTTTTTTTAACTAATAATGCCCACCCATAGTTTTATTTATTTATTTATTTATTTAGAGACGGAGTTTCACTCATGTTACCCAGGCTGGAGTGCAATGGCGCGATCTCGGCTCACCGCAACCTCCGCCTCCTGGGTTCAGGCAATTCTCCTGCCTCAGCCTCCTGAGTAGCTGGGATTACAGGCACTCGCCACCATGCCCAGCTAATGTTTTGTATTTTTAGTAGAGATGGGGTTTCACCATGTTGACCAGGATGGTCTCGATCTCTTGACCTCGTGATCCACCCGCCTCGGCCTCCCAAAGTGCTGGGATTACAGGCCTTTTTGCTCTTGTCATAAATTTTTCCCCAGCCCTTAGCTCCTTGCTATTCTTGAACTCCCTGCCTTGCTGGAGGCAGGGGGCAGGGGATAATTGGAAGATATTCCTCCCCACTTTGCTTCCCTTCAACAGTGCTCTTGGGAGCCTTTTGTGTGCCATGTTCCATGCTGGGTGCTGGGAATGCAGTAGAGAAAAACACAGAAAGAAATCCCTGATCTCACGGAGCATATGCTGTAGTGGGGACAGACAGACCATAAACATAAAAGAAGCAAATTACACAGTGCCTGAGAAGCTGGTATGTGCTACGAGGAGCATGGAGCAGGGCAGGGGCCTGTGTTCAGGGGAGGTATTGGATATTCAGTTGGGTGGTCAGGGTGGGCCTCCTGGTGGGGGGAGTGTTGGTGTTCCAGGTGGAGCAAAGAGCTGGTGAGAAGGCACCGGTTAGGGAGATGCTGATGTAGTCAGGACCCGGCAGGGAGGGGCTGGTGTGGGGGATGCAGAAGGCACAAGAACGGGAGGAGGCAAGAAGGTGCTGTGGCCAGACTGTGGTGCTCAGAGGCTGCTGCCAGGACTTGGCTCTGGGTGAGAGAGCCATGGTGGGGCTCTGAGGAGAGGAAGGTCATGATCTGACCTGCTTGCTGGGTTGAGAGTAGGCTACAGGGGTCAAGGGAGGAAGCAGGCGCAATAGGATGGTGGCCCTGTCAGGGTGGTAAGGAGGACATGGGGAGAAGGGGTTTAATGGTGTCTGTTCAAAGGAGCCTCAGCAGAACTTGATGGTGGATTGGGAGGTGTGACATACTGGCATGTGGATGGGAAGGACAAGTAGAGGCAGGAGTTCCTGGAGCCGTGTCTGTGAGAAGGGCTCCAGGGCTCAGCTTAAGCCCCTGCGTCAGGGAGAGCCTGGTGGGCCCTGAGAGTGTCGGCGGGAGATGGAGTGCCCTGTGCTGGACCATGGGGCGGTGGCTGCAGTCCCAGGAAGGTCTCCCCTTGCTCTTCCATCTTCTCTGTGAAGCACGAGGCCGGGCCATCAAGTGTGAAATGTGGGCACCACTTGCCACCACTTTAGGTGGACTCCAGTGGCTGTAGTGCTGTGTGAGTCACAGGGGTGAGGAGGTCCAGCTGCCCTGAGGCATTGGATGGGGTGGGGAGCTGGGTAGCTGGAGGGTGGGTGAGCTCAGGCCCCAGGATGATCTCAGGAGACAGGACTGTGAAGGCCTTGCATTAGCACATTTATGTTGTCATATTTTTTTTGTACTGTGACATTTTCTGATACCCTGAAACACTTTTTTCTTAACCCTTGTATTTATGGCAACTGGGGAGGTTATTAGAAAGTGCCATCTTTATCAAAGAACCAAGACTAGGGCCTCGGTATACATTTTTTTCACATGTGTATTTATAGACAAATCTCTGGAATTGCATTATTTTGCAGCTTCAAAGAACCCCCCCTTTTGCTTGGTGTTCTACATCCAAATACGAAGTTGCGACAGGCAGAAAGGCTGTTTGAAAATCAGCTTATTGGACCGGAGTCCATAGCACATATTGGGGGTAAGTCTGAGCTGGGGGACCTTCCAGGCTGTCTGTTGTCTGAGGGGACAGGTTCTGTGGGAGCAGCTGCAGTGGCTCACTGCCCCTGGACTGGGACCCTGCACACCCTTCTTCTTTTTTTTTTCTTGAGACGGGGTCTTGCTCTGTCACCAGGCTGGAGTGCAGTGGTGCAATCTCAGCTCACTGCAACCTCTGCCCCCCGGGTTCAAGCAGTTCTTCCGCCTCAGCCTCCCAAGTAGCTGGGACCACAGGTGCGTGCCACTACGCCTGGCTAATTTTTGTATTTTTAGTAGAGACGGGGTTTCACCATGTTGGTCAGGATGGTCTCTATCTCTTGACCGCATGATCCGCCTGCCTCGGCCTCCCAGAGTGCTGGGATTACAGGTGTGAGCCACTGCGCCTGGCCCCTGCACACCCTTCTTAGCTGTGGCCGTGAGGTTTGGCCCCAGACATCGCGTGGGAGGGCCCTATGGGAGTGGCTCTTCCTGCTGGTCTCATCTGTCTGGATTACATGCCATTTTGGCACTGGGTGATTCTGAGTTCATCTCTATGGAGCACTTTCTTGTGCTTAAATTGTTATGAAAGGAAAAAGACCAAATACAGATATTGATGTTGAGTTCGTTTACCAAAGTTAAATAGGTGTTTGACAGCACAGCATTTCTTAGTTCCGTTTGCTTTGTATAGATTTCACTGTGAAATGGAGACAAATGGTTCTCATATTTCCACTGTTTTTGTCTGTTTGAAAGCTCACTTTGATGGGTACACTTAAGGGTAATCATCTGCATCACACTTGCCCATGCCTTAGAACTAGAATTAGGTTTGGTTCTAATACTTGCATCTCTAGCAACCTTGAACAAGGCATTTTCTGTTTTAAAAATGAGAATTAAGCTTAGTATTGGAAAGGCACCGATAGTCACAGATAGTTTGCAAACTCAATCTGGTGTGGACTTGCTGAGCAGTGTCTTTGGAAGTGCTGCTTGTTACTCTGAAACACACTGTTCTCCAGGCGGTGGCTCTGGATGTATGCACACAGGGTGCTTCTGTTGTGCTCCCAAGGCTGGGCACTGGCCTCTCTTCTGGTGGTGTTTGACCAGCTTCTCTTGCCCGGCCCCTTCTATTTGTCACAGGCCCCAAGGACTGGCCTATTTCTGCAGTTACTGGTTTGTTTTCTTGGCTGTCAAAGTCAAAATTGATTCAAGAAGAGTAAATATCATGATAGAACTTAAAAAGACATTAGCATTTATTTGTAAATTTTATAAGTTTTAGCATTTTTTGGTAAAAAATCAAATATTGCTGCTTAACACTGAAGCTTAACAGCAGTTGAAGTGCAAACCAATGATTTTACTTCTCAAAGAGAGCACTTTCCTGTCTTTTTCCTTTTCACTGGGATATTTGGGCTATGTTGGATAGTTTGGGTCTTTGCCCTCTCCTTATGAACTTTAGGATTAATTTATCTGTATCTACAAAATAACTTGCTGGGATTTTGATTGGCATTGCATTGAATCTATAAATTAAGGTTGGGAAAAACTGACATCTTGACAATGTTGATTATTCCTGTTCATGAACATGGAATATCTCCCCATTTATTTATTTTATTTATTTCATCAGAATTTTTTAGTTTTCCTTATATAGACCTTGTGCGTATTATATTTATTCCTAAGTATGCCATTCTTTTGGATGCTAATGTACATATATTGTGTCTTTAATTCCAAACTCCATTTGTTCATTGTTAGTGTAAAGGAAGGTGAATCAATATCTTGCAGTATCCTGCAACCTTGCTATAATTGCATATTAGTTCCAGGAGGGGTTTTCTTTTGTTGTTGATTCTTTCAGATTTTCTTCCTAGACAGTTATGTCACTTGCACACAAAGACGATTTTATTAAGCCAGGCGCGGTGGCTCATGTCTGTAATCCCAGCACTTTGGGAGGCTGAGGTGGGTGGATCACCTGAGGTCAGGAGTTCGAGATCAGCCTGACCAATATGGTGAAATCCCATCTTTAAAAAAAAAAAAAAAAGCTGATTTTATTTCTTTCTTCTCAATTTGTATACCTTTTGTTTCCTTTTCATGTCTTGCATTAGCTAGGTCTTCCAGTATGATGCTGAAAAGAAATGGTGATAAGGGACATCTTTGCCTTGCTCTTGATCTTAGCAGGAAAGCTTCTAGTTTGTCACTGATAAGTATGACGTTAGATGTAGATTTTTAAAATAGATGTTCTTGATTAAGTTAAGAAAGTTTCCCTCTATTCCCAGCTTGCTGAGAGTTTTTAATCATGAATGAGTGTTGGATGTTACCAGATGCTGTTGATATGATCATGTGATTATTCTTGTTTAGATTGTAGAAGTCTCTAACTGTGATAGTGGATTCTGTTTCTCCTTGCAGTTTCATCAGTTTTTGCCTCACATATTGGTGCTCTGTTGTGAAGCATATACACATTAAGGATTCTTATGTCTTTTTGAGGAATTGACCCATTTGTCATTGTGCGATGCTCCTCTTTATCCCTGATAACTTTCCTTGGTCTTAAGTCTTTTCTGTGTGAATTTAATACAAAAGCTACCCTGGCTTGCTTTTGGTTAGTGTTAACATGACATACTTTCTTCATCCCTTCACTTTTAATCTATGTGTCTTTATATTTAAAGTGGGTTTCTTGTATACAATATAGAGTTGGGTCTTGCTTTTTGAGTCATTCTGGCAACGCCTGTCTTTCAGTTGGTGTATTTAAACCATTTATGTTTAAAGTGATTCGTGATATATTGGATTAATATCTACCGTATTTGTTACTATTTTTGCCCTTATTCTTTGTTTCTATTTTTGTGTTTTCCTCTTTCTACCTTTTGTAGTTTTAAACTGAGTATTTTATATGATTCCATTTTCTCTCCTTTCTTAGCATATGACTTATACTTCTTTTTTTACTTTTTGTGGTGTTACCCTTGAGTTTGCAATATGCATTTGAAAACTGTGAAATATTTTAAGAATTTGTGTATCATCAGTGCCCAAGGGGCATGCTAGTCTTTTCTGTATTGTTCTAATTTTAGTATGTGTGCTGTTGAAGTGAGTGCTTACTGTGCTGTAATTTTCTCCTAGAGGATTTCTGGCAGTTCTTCCCCTTTAGTTGGATACAATCAATGTCAGTAGCAGACATTGATGTGAGGTGAATATGAACTCATGCCCCTAAGTGCTAAGTGTCAGCTTGAGTGCTTCAGGACTGGAGGAAATCCTCACAGTTCTCATCACTGACTGGTATCTGCTGTACCCTTGCTCTAGAGTCAGGTTCATGCCCACAGGCTGCTTCCCTAGGGCCCCACAGTTTTATTGCTGTAAGTTTGAAGAATTTTTTGCATTCCCAGAAATTGCGTTTCCTTCATCTTCAGAATTGCCACTTCCTCTTGGGGGGCAGGGGGAACACATAAACAGGCCCTCTTGTAGGAGAAGGTGGCACAGTCACAGTTCTTAAGCTAACATTGCTCTTCCTCCTTTTTGTGTTTTTAAACAGATGTGATGTTTACTGGGACAGCAGATGGCCGGGTCGTAAAACTTGAAAATGGCGAAATAGAGACTATTGCCCGGTTTGGTTCGGGCCCGTGCAGTAAGTTGGTGGTAATCCCCTGACATGTATCTCTTCCAGTCTTTCAGAAAGATGTCGGATTTCTCTGTGGAACTGCTTTTCCCTAGAATGCTTGTGGGGGAAAAAGAACCTCTGACCATTTAGCAGAAGGAAAGTGATGTCACCATGAGCTCTTCATTTGCCTGGTAGTCCCTGAGCCTCATGGTGCCTGATGGTCACCTGCAGCCCCCATTTTGCAGCTGGGCCGTGGCCGTGGCCCCTGCTTGGTACTGTGTGGGCCTCGCCCCTCACCATTTTCCTGGGGTCACTGTCTTTGTGGTAGTTCAGAAGCCAATAGGTATTGTCAGTGTGCTGCTGTAGAAAAGCAGGTGGCCTTGTCATTACTTGGATTGTAACTGCTATTCTGCCTTGGTCACAGCAATTTCAGCCCTGTCATTCAAAGTGAGAATACTCTTAAGTCACTCAGATTTTGGAGAAGTGGAGTAGAAGACTCACTGTTTAAAACTGATAGTCTATAGACTTAATAGTGCCATTTTTTAATAGTTGGAATGTTTTTATTAAAATGATGCATTTTAATAAACACAACACAAAGGTACAAAGAAGAAAATAAAGATCACCTGCATCTTTTCAGATGTAATTGTTAGGAACATTTTAGTGAATGTCTTTTCAGACATCTTTCTGTTAATGGACATCCACACCCACACACAGTTTTATATGATGGAATTACACTCTACATCAATTCTTTAACCTGCCTTTTTTTGTGCCATATTGTCAGTAAGCACCCTGCAGTGGACATCTCACAGTGAACATCCTGCAGTAAGCATTTGCAGTGAGCACCCATGGTGAGCACCCTGCAATAAGCACCTGCAGTGAGCACCCTGCACCCTGCAGTGAACGTCCTGCAATAACCACCTGCAGTGAGCACCCCGCAGTGAACACCCTGCAATAAACACCTGCAGTGAGCACCCCACAGTGAACACCCCGCAGTAAACACCTGCAGTGAGCACCCCGCAATAAACACCTGCAGTGAGCACCCTGCAGTGAACACCCCACAGTAAACACCTGCAGTGAACACCCCACAGTAAACACCTGCAGTGAACACCCCGCAGTAAACACCTGCAGTGAACACCCCACAGTAAACACCTGCAGTGAACACCCCGCAGTGAACACCCCGCAGTAAACACCTGCAGTGAACACCCCGCAGTAAATACCTGCAGTGAACACCCCGCAGTGAACACCCCGCATTGAACACCCCACAGTGAACACCTGCAGTGAACACCCCGCATTGAACACCCCGCAGTAAACACCTGCAGTGAACACCCCGCATTGAACACCCCGCAATAAACACCTGCAGTGAACACCCTGCAGTGAACACCTGCAGTGAACACCCCGCAGTGAACACCTGCAGTGAACACCCCGCAATAAACACCTGCAGTGAACACCCCTCATTGAACACCCCGCAGTAAACACCCCACAGTGAACACCCCGCAGTGAACACCCCGCATTGAACACCCCGCAGTAAACACCTGCAGTGAACACCCCGCAGTAAATACCCCGCAGTGAACACCCCGCAGTGAACACCCCGCAATAAACACCTGCAGTGAACACCCCACATTGAACACCCCGCAGTAAACACCTGCAGTGAGCACTCTGCAGTGAACACCCTGCAATAAACACCTGCAGTGAACACCCTGCAATAACCACCTGCAGTGAACACCCTGCAATAAGTACCTGCAGTGAGCACCCCACAGTGAACACCCTGCAATAACCACCTGCAGTGAGTACCTGCAGGGTGGTTCTAGCTGTATGCCATGGTCTTGTTTTGTTCCATACAGCATGATGTATGGGAAGGGATGGATGAGAGAACTGGAACTGCAGAGAGCACAGGTAGAATCTGAGACCAACTACCAATACCTGTCTTTTTTTTTCTAGAAACCCGAGATGATGAGCCTGTGTGTGGGAGACCCCTGGGTATCTGTGCAGGGCCCAATGGGACTCTCTTTGTGGCTGATGCATACAAGGGACTATTTGAAGTAAATCCCTGGAAACGTATGTGACAATATCTTATTTCTGTCTATGATGATTTTAGATCTTCTAACAATGTATGTATGCATAGACTTAATAGGATTTGTTAACAACAGTCTACCAAAAACTGATATTTCTTATTTACTGAACAGTACTGAAAGCATTGCCTGGAAAAGTCAGCTAGTTTTAAACACCAGAAAACTCCCTACCCATGATTCCATTTGGTCCATGGAATTTCCTCCTCCTATTTATATTTTAGCTACAGGGTCTCAAAAGGACTTATTTTGAGGAAATTAGACCTGTTTCTGTCTATATTTTTCTGTGTCTTTGCATCTTGTCTATTTGTTTTCTGCCTCTCTTTGTCTTCTCTGTGGCCTTCCCTTTGTCTCCGCCTTTCCATTGTCTCCCGTTGTTCTTCCTCTTCTCTCTCCTGACTGCTCGTGTGTCCCCTTGACCAAGCTGTAATATGTGCTGTGTGTCTGAGTGGAGGTGTTCCTGCCAGGGAGGAGTCTGTCATCTTGTGTAGTGCGTGGGGACCTGAATGTAGGCCCTGCAGCCCAGTTGCTTGGGGACATTCATTCTGCTGGCCACCAGCTGTGACTGTGCAGGTCCCTTGGCTGCTCTGTGTCCAGCTTCCTCATCAAGTCGAGGTCACAGTAGCCCTGCCCATGGGATTGTTGTGAAGGTTTAAAGGTGATCACACCTGGAGAGAGCTTAGCACTCCGTCCATGTTCTTTCTACTGTTTTTCAAAACTTACTACAACTTTTTTTTTCAAAAAGCAGATGAGTAGAATATGTCTTATTTCTCTCAAACAAATAGAACTAAAGCCTAACATTCGGAATGGATGTATCAAGTTAGTTGGCCTTAGTAAAAGAAAGATTCCTCATCCTTATAGCAAAGATTCTGCCTTAAACGAAGTTAGTCTAAAACGAATCATTTAACACCTAATACTGTTTTTAGTATAAGAAGGAATAAATCTGACATATGGAGAAGTTTATCTTTTTAAGTCAGGCTGGTTAATATTTTGAAATTATTGAGAAGCAAGTTCCCAGTTCAAGCCAATTTTTTTTCTTTTTCTTTTTTTTTTAAACTTCAGGTGAAGTGAAACTGCTGGTGTCCTCTGAGACTCCCATTGAGGGGAAGAAAATGTCCTTTGTGAATGATCTTACGATCACTCAGGATGGGAGGAAGATTTATTTCACTGATTCTAGCAGCAAATGGCAAAGACGAGACTACCTGCTTCTGGTGATGGAGGGCACAGATGACGGGCGGTGAGGCCTTCCTGCAGGTCTCCCATTTGCTGAGTTTGCTAGCCAGGCTGGCTGCTCCAGCAGAGCTTGTTACTTCTAGGGAACAACGGAGTATTTCCAGCATCATATTTCAGCTTCTAGGGCAGGACCTTAGTGGCTTCTGGAGGCAGGTGATGGATGTCACAAAGTGGAGCAAAGCACTTTCGTTTTCTCTGAGAAATTAAAACAGACCAGTCTGTTTGAGGGTGTGAGTCTGCGCAGTTGGGAGAGACCCTGGAGGCGGGCCTGGGCTTTGGGTTGCCTTTCTGAGGGGGACTCCTGCCCGGCTCCAGGTCAGTGAGAGAAGTGACCATGGGATTCTCTGGAGGGGACACTGGATCTGCTCTGGATGGGGAAGGGACCCCAGGGGCCAGCCTCGAATCAAGTTTGAGTGGGGGTCCAGGGCCTGTTGCTTTGAGATGGGGCGGAGTCACCTGCAGGCCCATGCCCTGAAGGCCCAGAGCAGGAGCCACGGACTCTTCCCCCATAACCCTCTGCTTTTGGTGTTCTGCAGCCTGCTGGAATATGATACTGTGACCAGGGAAGTAAAGGTTTTATTAGACCAGCTGCGGTTCCCCAATGGAGTCCAGCTGTCTCCTGCGGAAGACTTTGTCCTGGTGGCAGAAACGACCATGGCAAGGATACGAAGGTGTGTGTGGGGTTAGCTGAGCGGTCAGTTGTCAGCCAGAGTGCATCCTGGCTGGGATAGGGTGGGTATGGGAATGGGATCGACAGGAATCAGAGGCAGCAGCGCACCTTCTGCGTGGCATGTTAATGAAAGAAAATTCAAGGGTGCGCTTTCTTTCTCCTATTGTGAGTTGCAGTCTGGGAGAGTGTCTTAAGTTAAGGCCAACTGGCCCAGCCTGGGCCTTATTCCTCTGCCAGCAGGGCCTTGGTCCTCCCCCCACCTGCTTCCCCTCTGTTCATGCTGGGCCCTGGGCACAAAGTTTCCTTCTCAGCAGCTGTGCCTTTGTTCATGATGGACATAGTTAGAGGACTTTGCCATGTATATATTTGGACCCAGACCAATGTGGTGCTTGGCAAAAATTTTTTTCTTGAATTATGGGGCTACTGCTCACTGTCTGCTTGGGTGATTTTTTCAGAGTCTATGTTTCTGGACTGATGAAGGGGGGAGCCGATCTGTTTGTGGAGAACATGCCTGGATTTCCAGACAACATC